GGGCAAGTAGTACACTAAGATCACTGAAAAAGTGGCCAGGGTTAAACATTGCAATTACAGTGAAATTCAGTCCAGTAAGGAAAACTCTCATTTTCATCTCAATGCTCTTGATTCTTTACATTTTTTTTCCTTGGCACTACAACTTCAGTGGGCCTAGGCCTACCTTCATGGACTTCCGTTCACTTCAGTTTCTCTAGATCTTACACAGACGGTAGGACTCCTTGGGCGAGTGATCAGCTCGTCACAAGGCCTCTACCTGTAGACAAACACAGAAAAACGCACACAAACATCCATGCCCTGAGTGGGATTCGAACCCACGATCCCGGCTTCCGAGTGAGCGAAGACAGTGCATGCCTTAGACCGCTCGGCTACCGTGACTGGCTAATTCTTTACATACCAGTGCATTATCACAACCTGACTCTAAAAAAATATAGGTACTTAATTACCTAAAAAGTTGTACATGACACTGATACCACATTCAACAGAACCCCATCAGGGTCCTATCAAGTTATAAAATTATGGGGTTAAAAAATTATAAAAGGTTAATTACTTCCATCCAGTGTGAATGATGAAGTTTTTTTTCACCTCAAACATCACCAGGACAACACTAAAGAATCCTATTCTCCAAACAGAACCACAAAGCGGTTAAGCGATAGATGCTTGGCTTCCCTTAAAGACAAGAAATAAGGACACAAACCAATTTGGTTTAAAAAAATTAATAAAACCTTCTTAAACATACTAACTGTAATTTATAAATATTTTAACATATTAGTACAAGCCGCTGTAGTTGTTAAAAACACTAGATTTTGTACTCATTGTATTATGTATTGTATGTATATATTAAAATTCAGAAAACATATTGTAATAGTGGTTTCTAATTGTACTGATACCCTTCTGAAGACAGTCTATAAGACTGAAACATGTTAAGGATAAAATACTAAAAAGGAGAAAAAAACTTCACCAGTCACACTGGATATAATTAATTAACCTTTTATAATATTGTTAGTGTGACGGACCAGGATGAAACAAATTAAACTTATGGGATTAAACGTTCATCTCTGTATAGAATCTATTCAGATTTCTTTATGGAAATCTCAAAACATGACAGCCTCCAATACTGATCTTACATGGATTATTTTTGCCTTTTGCTGTATCTGTAAGGTTTATTCAGTCAGTACAAATACAGTGGAAACTCGCTTAATGAGCACCTCTCATAACGAGTAATTTGCATAACAAGCAAAACAAATTGTAAAAAAATGACTCGCTTAACGAGCGATGTTTTGCATAACGAGTGACGAGAGGGGAAGTCCTGGATTGTGCGCTTGCTACATCAGTCTGTGTTTAGCACTCGTTCCGCTAGCATTTTAGTGTCGCTTGTGATCACACATTTTTCCAAACTTGTGTTCAGACACATTATTTGTGATTTCTTCTGTGCAAAGTTTAAGAACCCTTGCAAAAATGTCTCCGAAGAAAAAGCCACAAAAAGACAGCCATAAGAGAATGAAAATAACCGTAGAAATGAAAGGTAATATCAGTGAAAAGCTAAAACAAGGTGTGAGCGCTGCTAATCTAGCATGCACATACAATCGATTTACATCAACGAATTGCACTATCCTCAAGAACAAGGACAAGATTAAGGAGACAGATGCTTCAAAGGAAGTGACAAGAATATCTACGCAACGGTTACGTATTCTCGATGTTCTTGAAAGGCTGCTCATCATATGGGTAAATGAAAAGCAATTGCAAGGCAACACTATTAACGAGAACATCATTTATGAGAAGGCGAAAGTGATTTTCGCCGACCTCGTTAAGATGCCAGGATCATCAACGGCCGAAGAAGAAGCATTTAAGGGAAGCCGTGGGTGGTTCAAAAAGTTTAAGAGAAGAACCGGCATCCACAGCGTTGTAAGGCACGGTGAAGCAGCAAGCTCCAAAACAAATGCAGCAGAGTTCATCGGCGACTTCAAGAAGCTCGTAGATTCTGAGGGTTACCTGCCACAACAGGTTTTTAATTGTGACGAGACGGGTCTCTTCTGGAAAAGATGCTGAAGTGAACCTATATAACAGCAGAGGATAATGCATTGCCCGGCCATAAGCCAATGAAAGACCGTCTCACGCTATTATTTTGTGCCAATGCAAGCGGTGATTTGAAAATTAAACCGCTGCTCGTTTACCATTCAGAAACTCCACAAGCCTTCAAGAAGTGTGAAGTCCAGAAGAGCAGGCTAAATGTGATGTGGAGGTCCAACAACAAGGCTTGGATGACACGTGACCTTTTTACTGATTGCATCAATGAAGTGTTTGGTCCTTCTGTGAAAAAATATTTGCTTGAGATGAATCTGCCACTCCATGTCTTGCGTTTTATAGACAATGCTCCTGCCCATCCTCCAGACCTACAAGATGACCTCCTTGAAGAATTTAAATTCATCAAGATCCAGTTTCTGCCTCCCAACACCACTCCGTTAATCCAGCCTATGGACAAGCAGGTTATTTCTAACTTTAAGAAGATGTACACTAAAGCACTCTTCGAGCGTTGTTTTGAGGTGACTGAAGGGACCAATCTCACTCTCAGAGAGTTTTGGAAATATCACTTCCACATCGTTGCCTGCTTCAAGATGATTGAAAATGTGTGGGAAGGGGTTACCAAGAGAACCCTCACTTCTGCTTGAAAGAAGCTTCGGCCAGAGAGCTTTGTTGACTGTGACTTTGAGGGGTTTGAGATAGTACCTGTGGAGCCTGTAGTCAATGAGATTGTGTCTTTGGCCAAGATCATGGGGCTGGAGGTGGATAACAATGATATCGATGAGCTTGTGGAAGAGCACAGCCAAGAGCTGACCACCGAAGAGCTTATGGAGTTGCATTGTGTTTCACAGCAAGAAGTTGTGGAGGAGAATTTGTCAGAGGAGGAGGTAACAGCAAAGCAACCATCTTCTGGCTCAATACGAGAAATGCTGAAAACATGGGAAATTGTTGCATCGTACATTGAGAAGCATTACCCTAATAAGGCAGTGGCTATGTGCACTACAAATTTATTTAATGATAATGCTGTGTTGCATTTTCACCAAATTTTGAAGCGTCGGCAAAAACAAATGTCTCTAGACAGCTTTCTAGTAAAAAAGAATTAGATATGTATCATAAATAATAAACTAATTATTTCGATTTTTTTGTTGTTTTCTGCAAATCGAATTCGCATTCCAGGTTGGTTCATTCCGCATAGAAGAAAAGATGAAGATGATTCACGCTCCTTAACAATGTATATATAATTTTCTTTGAATAAACGTTATACATAAAATTTTTTTAGTATTTTTTTTTTGGCATGGAATGCATTATCGTATTTTACATTAATTTATATAAGAAAAAGTGTTTCGCTTAACGGGTGTTTCGCATTATGAGTAAGATTCTGGAACGAATTATGCTCGTTAAGCAAGGTTCCACTGTAATTTAACGGTATTTAATAATAAGTAGATTATAGAATTTTGATTGTGACATTCTACAGATCACAGACGCTTCAAACCTGGCCTACATGGCCACAGGTAACAATAACTGTCCATCCTTACACTAAATAATGTACCAAGAATTGAAGTAAAATTAATTTTACTGAAGATGTAATGTAGTCATTACGCACAGTATATTAAAGACTGTATTGATTTCAATTAAATTGAGAATAATTACACAGCTCCTTCTTATGTGCTTAATTTATGTAAGTACTAAAAGTATTACATGTTTCAACAAATAAACTGAAAAAATCTCAGTTTTAAGTACAGCAGAATACAAATTAAGTACCAGCAAATTATGGTGAAGTAGCATTTTCCCACAGAGAAATTCTAATTTCCCTACCAGCAAACAGATTTCTTTACATTCTATTTGATCACAGTACAAATCATATTTAACAGGACTAACATTTCATAAAAAAAACAATTAAATAACAAAATGAGTTTTTCAAACTCTTGAAATATTAATATACACACAACCTATAAGGAAACAGTAAAAATCCTTTATATACTCTGCTGGACTCAGTGTAACATTCAGAAAATTACGCCCCAGTTAAATTAAAGTTGTATCTGATAATGTTCTGGTGTTCAGATAAATGGGTGTGATATTCTACTGAATTCAGTTCAGCATTAAAAAAATTATGATGAAGCCAGATTCTGAAGAGGGTCAAACAATTCTAGAACTAAAAATAGACCTACTGGTATGTCATGGATTTATGACAGATCTTAAGGGTAACAGCCTATCAAACACAGTTCCAACAATCAGAAAATTATATTGAAGTCCAATGCTAGATTAAATATGACATTTTTAGAATACACACAAAACTGGAGACGGTGGTATATTAACAAATGGGCCTAAGGGGGTTACATTACTGCTCTGACAAAGGGAAAAATATGTATGCAGTTTTAAAAATACTGCAAGTTAAAATGAAGTACTACTGCCAGATGTAATAGCAGAAAAAAATTACTGACTTGTGACTATACAAAATACTGCTATGTTCATTGCATACAAGACATCATAAGTAGATACAACATGCTGAAAATGGACATTTTCATCTTTGCATGTGGCTGGCAACAGTGAGTCCCTGAACTACCCAAAAATTTAATTTGATTGGCAAGTTTTAGTGTAGCGTAAGTGTACTAAATTTCATCACATTCAGATGATAGCTTCATAGTTGACACAGCAGAATTGTCACTTTGTTCTACAAATCTTTTGTACAAAAACTTGTCATGTCATAGTTGAGTCAACAGAAGCAAACACTCTGGTGCCTTGTAATTTATATTCGTGAATACAGCCAGAAACAGTGCAATATATGTAACTACACCCATTTCTTAATTCCTTCCGACACAAAGAAATTCATGTCTATTATTCCTACACATAACAACATGTATGTTATGATAGGTTTTTAAATAATGTTACTGTCATTTCCAAATCATGGCATCAGATAACATTCTTGGATTCATTCATACAGATAGGGTGTCCAACAAACTTCAATAGCAATTAATGTGGATAAATATTAACAGGAAAGCTGCGCTGTTCACAAAACAGTAAAAATCACTGTGATGACATCTAGTGATGTGGCTGAGAATACTAAACACAATGTGTTCTGTGTGCCAATGATTCCAGTTCAGACAATTTTTTGTTAAGTCTTCATATACACAAGAAGCATGCAAAAAAAAAACACATCATTATAAGTGATGTATGCCAACAATGAAGTGAAATGAATGTAAGCAGAAGAGGCTGTTAGATTTCTTGCATATGCTCTATGTTTTTGTTAATAAACACAATCTCTAAGCATTCATGTCATAAAACATCACACAATAACCTCCCTATAGGAACTAATGTATAACATGCATTGCTATTTTCTGCAATTCAAGGACCAAAGTAGTGTATTTATCACATTCCTAAGAAAACTCTGGATATCATACTGTGATCTTGTAAACACAAAGATATGTACCAGAATTCAGAGAATATCCTATGTCTTTATGATGAAAACAGCAGTGAGAAGGCACAAAACAAAACAAATAGGAGAAAACTATGGAAGGAAAGGAAAGTAAGAGAGAAAGAAAATAAAAATAGAAGTTCAGTTAAGCTTCAATACTGTTATAAAGAACAAAGTTTCACATTAGAATCTTAGTGATGAAAAGAAGTGGCAATAACAAACTGAAGTTAACATTTTGTACAAAATGGCACAGATGTCAAATTACAATGTTTTAATTGTAACAATTAGGCCTCTTGTGAACATCCCTTGACTTACTCTTCTTCCCATAACTTTCTGTCTCACTGTGAATCATGAGATCAGCTGCAATCAGAGCTTGCATAAACAAAACAGTAGAGGTATGAAAGCACCAATGGCAACAAACACAGGCAGCATGATCGATGAGTCATCAATAGAATATGGATCTGGGGTTCGTGGTCCACTTGGTCGCCGGTTCTTTGCAGATTTTTTATCTTCTATTTCTTCCCGATATTCCTCAGGGTCTGGTTCACTTGGTATAGGAGGTAGTTTTGGGACATCTGTTACAAACATAAACATATAAAGCAATGCATTCAATGTCTTGTGGGAGAAATGTATACAAATAAGATGCTTCACCTCTCAACATTCAAAAACATGTCAATAAGAAAAATAACAGTCAGCATTACCTTCAAGTTTTCCTTTCAAAACACAGATAGCATTGATCTTGGGATTATCTCTGTAGCCCTGAAATTAAAACACACAGTAATACAACTGCAAAATGCTGTGTTAATGACCTAAATTTTTTTACATGTAGTCAACTTGTTATCTGTATAGAATTGTTGCATATGGTGTATTTAATTCAGACATATATATATATAATGTGATCTGACATCTGAAAGCCAGAGTAGTGCAGCCAGGGACAGACATCTGTTGATGAGCAACAGCTAAATAAACACTAGTTTCCATTATAATGGATAGCAATGAACGAGTCACACACGCAGTCACAGGAGCAAGAAACAACACAAAGCACAATAATACACGATAGTGAAAGAGTGCTCCAACAGAAGAGGATAGATGTGACTCGCGTAGTGAGATACGACGTAGGGAAGAAGAAATAAAAATTCCTGAACAATTTTAATATTTTTAACATTTAACATTTATCAATATATATGATAAATATATATTTTAGTTATTTTAATATGAAGACAAGGCATGCAATGAACTAGTTTAGCGTAAATTGAATAAGCACCTGAAGATGGCACTTTTGTGCCGAAACATGTAGTGCGAGTGAGAGGAGGAGATAGATGAGTGTATGCACTGGAAGACGGTTGAAATAAATCATGGACTTAAATCAGTGCAACAGGACGCTAAAATATAACATTATGAGTCACTATCATGTAACAAGTTGCTTAACACAAGATTCCTGTGACAGTCAATAGGACAACAGAGGATAATTAACTGTTCAGTGTGATGTCTTCTATGCATGCCGCCTAGCAGTTATAAGAGTAGTGAGAAAGTGTAGAGAACCAGAATTCAAGAGACCGAAACTTGGGACCAATCTGAGACTCAAACAACAGTGAGAGATTCCTCACAGTTTCGTCACACAGACGTTAAGGAGTTCAGTCTGAGAGCTATTATAATAAACTGTAATTGCAAAGAACTTCCAAGATATCCAGTCATCAAATCTAGAACCAACAATTATTAGTCACAAATACCCCTCATACATGACAATATAGAACTCCTGTGTACAAGATACCTAGAGTCAATGTTTCCAAAACATTTTTGTCTGTGGAACTCTTTTAGCCCTCCAAAATACTGACGCAATCCTAAACTAAAATTAGGGTTTCAGGTATAAATACTAAGTAGGACTATGTAGGTTTTAAGCCACGTAGTCTGACAGAAGTTCACTGATATTCTTCTGAAATGTCAGGGAATTTCTGCCCAAGTTACATGATGTCACATCACAGAAGACAGGAAGTACTCTAGATGGTCAGTGCTGTGAGAACCTCAAGCTTCTCATACCCTGTATCTGTTCAAATAGATATAAAAATTGAATTAAGCTTTAACAAAGTATCTTAAAATACCCAATTTAAATAAAATCTATTATTACACAGAGACATGCATATGAATGGACACAGTCCTCCATTTAAGTCAGGTCCTCCAAAAGAAATGGGAGCACGTGGTAGCGTAGTTGGTTGAGGCACTATGCTCCAAGCCAGATGGTCGTGGGTGCAAGTCCCGATGAGGTCATTGGATTTTTTTTTCAACTGACCCAATCCTTCCGACCGTACTATGAACCTGGGGCTGACTAAGCCTCTAACAGAAATGAGTACCAGGAATATTCTAAGGGGTAAAGGGTGGCCAGTGCACAGAACTGACAATTGCTGCCATCTATGAGCCAATTGTCTAGAAAATGTGGGAACCTCGACATCTCACAACCCTATGGGCCTCCACGGCCTGTTACAGGGATACCTTTACTTTTTACTTTATCAGCATTAAACATTCTGATATTTCTACAACACATTTATTCCAGTTCAGGAAATCTTTACACCTACAATTTTACTTGCGTAACAGAGATTTCCTCTAAAAGTAAGGTGAATTAACCAGGTGATGAAGTGACAGTATTTAATACATATGTTGAAAATAATATGTGAGCTTCAAATGAAAATAACAACTTATAAGTTTAGGTTCTTTCCAGTATCTGAAGAATTGAAATAATCACCTTAATAAATTCGACCCTGATTTTTCCACCTCTGATGTCCGACTCTTCTTCATTGTAGTATAGTCGTCCCTTAACAACACTGAAGGGGATGTGCTCATCATACGCAATGCCATTCCCCACTCGGTCATAAATATCCAAGTCCGGAACTATTGTATGATCACCATTTAACACCACATCAAAAACCTGTACACATTAAAGAAAACTGAATTACTACCACTCAGAATGTAATTTTTAACGTCATGATTTTCTCTTCTTTTGTGATCATGACTGACTGATGCTTTGGTTATTTAGGACTGCCATTTTAACTGCAGGTGTTCTATAGTATCAAATGAAATGAAAAGATGGTAGTGAATGATGAGTATACAAGGATCGGAAAAAGGTAACCATTAACTATCTGAAGGTACTTTTCTTGCTTTCAGGCTGAGAGTCTGAAAAAAACTGGAATCTTAGAATATTTGGTAATCCACTTCACATTCATTCCAGCTAGTTTCTTAAGAAAAAGTATACAGTGGTATGCTTACACCAACATGCACAGTTCCACGTTCATTATAAGACTATGACAAATTTGATTTGGATGGTTGGGTGTATATTAAACCTTCTCATTATACAAGTAGTACATTCATCAACAGCTGAAACTGTGTATGAAGCTGACCACTCACCTCAATTTGATGATAAGGTCAAAAATGGTGAAGCTGTACCTCCACTCCTCTATATCTCTTCATGGTGTAACACTTATTTAAGTGATGGGACTTTAATTGTTTCTTGCATCCTGTTGTGTATTTAATTAATATTAGAGTCAATTTTACCGACCACACAACATAGTTTTATCGGTAAAACTGACTCTAATATTAAGTGATGGGACTTTACCTTTTATATATATTCATGTTGTAAATTACAAACACGGTGATGGTGTGACTGACAACCTTCAACACTGAAAACCTACTTATATACAAAGTATACTATATATTACACTACAACTATCAACAACAACATGGGTAGTGGCTGTTACAATCAGCACCTGTTGCCTACCTACACTACATGATCTGTAAATGATAGCAGCCAGTAACAGTGGGGAAGGCAAGTTGAGGCAGGTGGGTGCATGAAAATTTTTCCATTCCTTTTGTTGACTTAACTGTAGTACATTAGTGAGCTAACCTCAATCACCTGATTAGCTCTTTCTAATGGACTCAACACAGTGTTCCCCACTCCCTAATTTGAGGATGGAAACAGATCCAAATTCCAAAACACAATGTTCTTCAAATACTGGATGAGAGAGTCCACAAACCCGGTAATCCCAAGTGTTAATGCAGCACCAGAACCCTTTAGAATCTACTCATAAATCTAGAGGCAATATGAACTAAACAAAACCAACCTAATCAGTCATCAAATTCTAATTTTCAAAAGGAATAAGAACATATTACATGGCTTCTTGAGAAGTTCAACTGCTCATCGTATGCCCTGCTTTCTACATGACCTGAAGCTTCGTTACTGTGTTTACAAGGACCTGTCATTGGACCCTGTACTGACATAGATGAATCTAATCCACATCCTGTTTCTTACAATCCATTTTAATAAAAGAAATTATAAAACTACATCTAAATAGAAGCAAAATTATTTGTTATTAACTTAATTAATCAAATGCAGAAATCAGTACATCTTGTGCCACATGAAAACATTGTTAGTTAAACTGCATGTCACCCTAAGGTGAGTTAACCCAGTGTACTGAAACAAAACTACAGTGTACAGTAAGGTAAACTTGTGAAGCATTAGAAACTACCTTGGAACATGTTACTGGAGGGCCTGTGCTGTAATCTTACTTCAACCATATTAAGGTTTGTAAGTTTTGAGGTTTTCACGGCGATGACAATGAAGAAAGTCGTCTTCTGGGTTTAGGCAAACCCAGAACGAAGAATACACGGTGCCTAAACCCAGAAGACGACTTTCTTCATATTAAGGTTGATTAAAATACTAGTGTGCGAGGCTACTAGCCCAGTTTATTTTGATATTTAAATTTAAAATTAGATTATACAACAGTTCATTGTGTTAGAAGGAATATGGCCCTTTTAATTCTCACACGTTTGAATATGTTAGAAGCAAAAGGTTAAACCAAAATATTCATGGTCACCATACTGTGAACATATATCCAGCCTTCACATATCCAATCCATATCAACTGGCAGCACAGAAATACTGTAAACAAGATTATCATCTGGTCAGTGCTACACCTTTATCTTTAAATAGGGAGGAGGTGTGATTCATAGCTACTAAGATTCAACATAAACAATTATAATCAATCTAATTCCAGTAACCTGTGTCTGAATTTGGTTTTTTACTGTTACTAACAAAACATAAAGCTTTCTGAATTACCTAACATAACTTGTCATGGTACTGTAGACACATACATCAAAATGCCAAACATACTGCAACAGATACTGCTGTCTTCAAAGCAATGGGAATGTTAGAATTTCCTCTCATACTTTGCTCAATTCTGTGACTATGACTGACACAAAATATTCCATATTTTGGTCTTCTAGGATATTATTTTTGTGGGTTATTTTATAATGTTGTCAGTGGCTTGGTTATGTAGCTTCAAATGATTGGATGGCAGATGAATGTTGAAATGGAAAGAATGTGGAAAGAAGCAGGTGTGACCTTATTGAGATATTATCTCAACATTTGCCTGGAGGGACATACCATAAGAAACCTGTCAGTATAAGTGATATCAAGGCACAGATGCAAACCAAAAATCTCCTGAATACAAATCTAGAGTGTTACTGTAACACCAACTTGTTCAGTTTCTGAGTTATGACACAATGCAGTCAGGTAAGCGTTTCCCCAACTTCCTATATAATTGGTTCTGGTGATGGCGGGAGTATGTTACTCTGAATGACCTGCATGGTGTTATAACCGTGTCGTGAGTCTTCATAACAGTGAAAACTCATACAGAAATATTGCTTCAGAATGTTGCTGTACTTCAAATTCTGCAAAATTTCACTGTCCTTGTTTATGACATAATGCATAACAAAAGTAAACTAACCTTCATGTTTGGGGCATTGAAGTATACTTCACAGAATTTTAAAATCATAACATAATCACCATCTTCATTAATTGGAATGTCATACCCAAACGTACTATGATGATATCTTTCTGTCTGATACAAGATATGATCTTCTGGAGGCACACGACCGATCAAAAGACGTTTCCCATAATCTGATGCTGTTCCTACTTTTCCATGTAATGGGTCTCTTTCATATCTCACTCCTTGACTATCAATGTGGGCTTCGCCCCCTGCGTTTACAGCATAGATAACATCTCCTATGCCCGTAATGTAATCAAAATAGAAAACTAGCAGTGTTAAAACACACGAAATGTGTCCCAAGAATGTCATGTTCCCAGTGAATATACTAATAATACACGTCACAACAAAAAGTACCTCAACGAACAGATAAAGTATAACTAGTACGTGGCATGTGCAGAAACATTTCACCTCGTGCACAATTACAACAAAAAGAACGTCGACTAATACTCTTTTCCTCGTTTGGATCTCATCATGTACTGAAAAACACGTGTCATACACCGGCAATGTTACGAATTTCGTAATTAGTATAAAACTATAAATACTATTCACGTTAATGCCAACCATTCAGAAACTACACTATCATGCCATCTCTTGGATGTGCTTGGAAGGATATGTCAAGCATTCTGTCAGCAACCTCGGCTATCAAGTTCTGTACGTTCTGTACGCTCGGTTCTTCCCACTCGATAAGCTAAGCAGTATAGTAATCTATTGGATTTCCAGCAGCGTGGTCAGCGTGGTTGCGGTAGGTTGGCAAGATCGGCAAGATCTTCTCACTGAGATACAAACATCCACAGATCCGCATAGAACTACGCAACTGTGCAAGTGTGTACCCATTGGTGTAGGTATAACGGCGAATTCTTTGAGATTAATCGTACTATCGAATACAAAGCAGAAGTATTTCGACCTCCATAACACCCAAAGGAAGATTTAGAATTGCAGAAAATAGAACAAATAGCTTGATCAAGCATGAAATCTGCTTGAATTTATTTATGTAATTATTTCTTCCTGGTGATAAGTGGCGGCCAGCTCGTAATGCTGACCTCTCCGCCAACTTTAAGCAGATTGTCTAGGAAATGTGGGAGCCTCGACGTCTCAACGGTCCCAACCGTGTTGACCTCCACATCATATTACGGCGATAGCGTTTGTATATCTTCTAACGAAGTGATAAACGCAGCTTTGGATGAGTGTTACATCTTAGGTCTATTGAGCATGATGTTATTAATCTAAAGGTTGCTCAGCTAGTAGAAATATTCCTCGCCCTTCATGGAACCTGGAGACTCTTGACCATGTTTACAAGAGCATTCTAATTGTTCCAAGCCGGCCAAATCTAGTCCACACTCTTACATACACCCTAATCTCCCTGCCTCGTTATGCTTTGTAAGTTGAACTAGATCATAAGTACAAATTCTATGCATGCTACATGTCTCATCCCATTTTAATTTATTTGATCACCCTAAATATATATGGCAACATGTATAAATTATGAAGCTTCAAATCTATGCAGCTTTGTTAACCTCATGTTAACTCAACCCCCCCCCCCTAATACTGTCCATTGCACAATATTTTCAGTCACCAGCGTAGAAGATGGAATTTCAGATCTCTTCAAAGTAGCAGGTAAAATAGTTCTTGTAATCTAATCTTCAAATTCAACATGAAATAGGTAAGTCTGTGCTGGATCATCCCATCGAGTTAAAGTATAAATGGCATTATGTTTCTATCATTTTCACTCTGGTGATGTTCTAAGGTACGAAATAATTACATTTTCCATGTGCTTAATTAATTAAGTGCTATGCCATGAAGACATACTGGGAAGTGGAAGTATAGTTCCACCATTCTTGACCTTGGTCCTAGGTTGAGTGGAGTGGTCAGCTTCACACCTTGACCGCATTGCCTGTGGTAGCCACTGGATAGGGGCTTGGACAGTGGTTACAATGGGAATCCCTGGTTTATGGGGTATATACTTCATGTAATAACATATACTAAGGCTCACATCTCACCCTATCCTTTACCATATATGCATTCCAAGTGATGACAAACTACTTCTCACCAATGAGGTTAATGTGTGCACGCGCATGCACGTACACACAGAATACATTAGTTCCTCCACTCCAGTTAAAATAAACTGATCTAAGAGTACAACTTAGTAATGGCATTCACACAAATTGGTTAAGAAATTATTTATATATCACTATCTGGAAATAGTCCACTCTGTTTACAGATACAGTGCTAGATTTAACATCTGAAACAAGGCAAATACGCAAGGATATGGACTTCATATTTTATATCCTGCTGAAGCACAACAAAGTAGCTTGAAAATCAATCAAGCCATGGATGTATAACTGAAGTAATGAAACAAGTGAACAAAATTCTCTGACAAGCAAATCCATTTTCTGAGTCACGTAAAATCAACACATCAATTGAAGTGAAATATATGAATGAATAAAATTCATTGACAATTTAATTAATAATTTGAAGGGCAGAATTGCTGGGGGATAATGAAAAGGGGAAGCACAATAGATCACTGTAGGTCGCGGTGCAAGGGCCGAGAAGGCCCACCCCTTATACATTCATTCATTTTAATTAAAAACCTTTAAAATCTGTCACAATGGTATTGTGGGATTGTCGATGTTCTAAAAGACAACCATGTAAAACTGTAACAATTATATATATTAAATTGTATAAACTGAATGTACAGAATAGCTGCGAAGCTATGTGGAATGTTCAAAAATTGGCTGGCCCTGAAAAGGGCAGTCTGTTCCACCATGAGTGCGCTCGTAGAATTTGCTCCTTTCTAGTAGACCAAGTCTTTACGGCCGTTCAACTGGTCTATCTGACTGGTGATGTGATGCTGCATGCGCCGGTAGGAACAGCTGCCTATGGCACAGTTGCTGGAGAGTTGTGGCAACTACATCAGCTGCCTGGTCGCAGAGCGAGGTTGCTGGAGAGTTGCGGCAGCTGCCTAGTAGCAGAGTGTGGTTGCTGGAGAGCTGCGGCAGATACATTAGCTGTCTGGTAGCAGGGCGTGGTTGCTGGAGGGTTGCGGCAGCTGTCTTTGGCGCAGTGAACAGCTCATGACTCTGATAACTGAATGTGATCACTGATGATTGCGAGCTTTGGGCTCTGCTTTTTATACCATGCTTGATGGGCGGAGCGAAACTTGCAGTTTCGATTATGAGCACTGATTGGCTAGCGCACGCGATGATGCAAAGGTGGGCTGGACAGTGAGTGCTGTATAAATACGAGTGGTGGTAGCAATGTGATATTGAATAGGAGTTGAGTGCTGTCTGTTAGACCGGCGAAACCGCGTGTCAGTATGTGGGATGTTCCCACATCATGTTACATCAGGTGCAGCTAGTTTATTATAAATCTGCTGTGCAACAGATCCACGTAAGACCCTGTCCTTGTTAATAAACCTAACACTGTGCCCAGAGTAGTATATGAGAGGAATATATTACCGTATTTACGCATGTATAGGCTGCACATTTTTTGCCAAAAATTCAAGAGGAAAACTGGGGTGTGGCTTATATTCGAAATCACACTTCATTTAAAAAAAAAATTATATTAATAATTAGTAATACAGGGTGTTCTACTCCTGAAATAATATTCCAAGAAAATTATTTTTTCTATAATTTCTGTCTGAAAATTGTGCTGCGGCCTATACATGCGTAAATACGGTAATTAATAGTTTTCAAATTTTAAGGTTCTTCCTATGAAATGACTGATTGTATATACTGAATTTTTATTATATATTCTAATTTTTAAATCCTGATGAAATGTATTATATTTGGACTGTTAAATTAAGTATTTAGGTCTTTTGTATTAATTTATGATTGTGACGATAAGCATATATCTGCATAAATTTGATCATATTTGAATATTTTATGTATAAATTTTGTACTGTGACTGTATTGCATGTTGATGGGTCCATGTTTTTATGTATTTTGACATGTTCTATATCCAATGGCATGCGTGACCTGAAAGGATTATGGAATTTAAAATAAAGTGAAGTAAAGTCAGCACTGAAAGCAAAGCACTTACAATTATACAATTCAAGGTACAACTGTGTGTGTTAATCCCAGTGCCATATCCTACTCCTGAAGAAATCCTATGACTCAAAAAGTCTGAACTTTGACCATGACAGCTTGACTATATCAATGGCATAACACTTCACAAAACAAGTGACGTAATTTAAGGATAGGAAAATCTACTTCAGAATTCTCATTTGTTGATGTGAAAATAGGCATCATCAGAACAGCTGGCATAACATTGCACTCAGAGCATAGAAAAGATACAAGACAATGCTAAACACTGTAGTTTCAGAGCACTGTACTATAGCATAACAATAATAATTACATTATCCTGAGTACGTGGATCCATACATCCACTCCCCCAATATGTCTTCATGGCATAGTGCTTAATTAGTTAAATACAGGGCCAACTCCACCTCTTTTTTTAACCTTATTCTGTCTGTTTTAAAAGACAAAATTAGTGAAATTTACATTGTGAAATATATTAAGAATATGGTTAAAATCTGTATATTTTAGGCCGGGTACAGACTAGCGAGCTGTTGCATGTAACATAACGGTTACTGTAACCACGTCTTTGTATGGACGACACGTCCATAGTCGTCGTGTAACCAGCTTCGAGTGACCCGATCCATAGTGCTCATGGTGAGCTCGCCATGAAGACATAGCGATTTGCAATGCTACTCCTGGCTCGGAGGAAACGTACACATTTACGAGCAAGCAATTGTGGCATCCATGAGCTTACTGCAAGTCCCTTTGTGTTCGCAGCAAAAACCGACAAGGCAGTGGCTCGCCAGTCGTGTTACAGAGCACGCTCGAAGTACGTTCGCGAGCGTGGTTCGGAAGGCGTCCACACTAACAGAATGTGGTTACAGTAACCATTATGTTACATGCAACAGCTTGCTAGTGTGTACCCGGCCTTACATACAATAATAAATGAACTTATGTCAACATTTGTACATCTTAAACATAATAACAAAATCATGTCTTTATATTAATCAGTTCTGAAAATATCCATCCCCAGTATACTATTTAGAAGTCACAGCAAGGTAACATAAAAAATATACAAAACAGTATGTAAGACAATATTTGTACTCATATATACATCAAAAACACCAATTCCAATGTACTTTCTAACAGCAAAATAGTAATATACTCTAAGACAAAACTCTCTATTAACATATTGTTTTAATGAATTAATGTCATTTGACTTAGGAATGTCACAGGATACACTGGAATTCAAATGTGACCCAAATTATTTCTCTAGAAATGAAAAGGCATTGTATATATACAACAAACACATATCCCATTCAAAATCCACATCTGTAAAGATACACAGAGACAACTAATCAGCTAGTCTCCTGAAGTGCCGCTTTGCTGTCTGCCCACTTTTCTCATGAATAAGTGTCTGAAAAATAAGAACATAATAAGAATAGCTTACCAAAAAACTGTAACAGGAGTATATGATTCTGCTAAATCAAATTATTCAGCCTCCAGCACCATTCTTAAAAAAGTATACAAGATCCAAAATTTATACCTTACTGATTGAGTGACTAGCGTGTTTAAAATTAACTCAACTGCAATGGCTACTTGCAGCCATCAACACACTCAACAAATAAAACCAGAACTTAAAAACTGAATTTATACTAATTTAACTAAGCTTTTATATTGGCACACACTACATGTAATGGTTATACAATTTGAATCTTGACATTCCTGCAACACAATCTTTGTGTCACTAAACTTCGCATCCTCTGTCATCTGAGGAAGCCGTTCTGTAAGTGACAATATAATGAATGCACTAGCTGAAAGTGGTGGGTATTGTACATACCAACAACATTCCTGCCTCAGAAAAACTGTATAACCTTGAAGTCTGGCTCCCATCAGGTACTTTTGATATGGTTCTCAGTTCCTCATCTTCTAAAGTAGTTGTACTCTGGAAAATATAATATTGCAGTCCAGTGGGGCTATGCCATTACATCAATTCCAATGCACTATTATAATCTCACTTGCAAAATTTAAATTTTATTGTCAAAAAGTTGGTGAGAGGAGCTATAGAATTTTCTGTGGAGCATTATGAATGAAACATGAAGGGATAAACTGTAAAACCAGGAAATTAGCCCATCATTAACTAAAACTGTCAGCTTCTGTCCAAATAGCTGTACCATGTCTCTGAGATGCTTTTAAGTTTAAGCTTTTAATGTGAGAGTATTTCATCTTGACATCTTTTCTAAACAAGGAATACATATCATTTCCCAGAGAAGATAAAATATTAAGGTCTTTTCTTTAACCATACTTCAAGAGCAGCAACCTGCTGCCATTTCAATTCAGCTGCAACGCCCAACTGGGTACCACTTAGAAGTTGTTTTCAAGGGGTCAGGCAAGATCTGAAAGTGGATATACTACAAGAAAGCTAGTAAAATTAAGAACATCATATGGACATACCAACACAAATGAAGAATCTGTAAGATGGGTTCCCTCTATTCTATATTAATAATTCACTCCATTACATATACTATGGCATGACATGGATCAGCTTGTCATTATATACTAACAAGCTGATCCATGTCATGTCATAGCTAGGATAATTAACAACCAGGATCCCATTGCAACACTCTGGATTCAATTCCAGTGCAGTCCATGTGACACTGTGATGGATAAAATTGAACGACAGCAGCTTTTTCTTCAGATACTTTAGGTTTACCCTGTCAATAATCAATCCAGCAACAGATATTGATGGACCACTGTGATTCAAAGGCTAAATGAGTTTCAGGGTAGATATCCTATAACAAATTTTGTAGAAATGCAGCACAGCTGAGTTGCTTGACATGGGGATTTTATGTAATGTTTTGTACACATGCCTAAAACACTGAAGTAAACTCATACTATATAATTCTATCCATGTTCAGAAAAATATGTGTCATGACATCATTCTCATTGGTATGTGTGAACTGGAAGGATGATATAAGTACACAGCTGACAGCAAGAAAGCCCAAACATGTTGGTCCTGCACAATATCAACGGACCTGACACAAGAAAGCTCTTTATGCTACAGTGATTATTGTTACTCAATGTGTTAGCTAAGTTTCTTGACACTGAAGACCGTTTTAAGTTTTTTAATTGGTTTCACTGATGGTATTGGCACATATTTTTCTCTTTGCTACCATGTACAGGCTGGCTCTAAGGCCCAACCAGCCTCCTATCCAGTGAGAGACTCAATTCCCAGGCGTAAGGCTCCTGGACTGCAACGCTAACAACCAACCTCCATCTAATGCCAGAGTCTGGAATTTTTTATCTCCTACACACCTTCATGAACAGGGGTAAATTTACATTAACCTTCAAACTGATCACAGGTATGGGGATTCAAATTCCGTTTAACTGTATGACATTTGCAGTTCTCATGGCAGTGAATATTAATATTATGATTTAGGTTGGGATGCCATGTTGTCTGGTAGTCCTCTTACCCTGAAGACAATGGCAGCAGATTTCTCTGAAATGCTGGTATCTGCCTACCAGACTACATAGTGTCACATCAAAGAAGACTAATATTTCTACATGATCAACTATGATTTTCATGAAACTGAAGATCATATCAGCGAAACAAAAAGTCATACAGCTCTACGATACAGATTCCTCCTTGAGCAGCTGATGTTTATTCTGTAGGCAGAGAAATTCTTTAGTCGAACCTTTTTCTTCACAATACGACCACCTTAATAACCCTAAGTAAAAAAAGTGAAGCCCCTCAATGATATAATTATTTTCATTAGCTGGCTTGTGTGTAACAACGAAACTATAAAAAAACTTCCATACGGAAATCTGACCGTCACAGTGTTGTGAGCTGGTCAGCCCTGGGCTCTAATCTCTTTACCCCCATGGGAAAGGTCTTTGACAGGTTCTTGCATAATTTAATGAAAATGCATTAACTGCGATGGATAAGAAATAACAGTAGAAAGGGAAGGAAGTGGTTGTAGTATTGTCCTATAATTTGCCCACAGGAAATGGCTCGGCTGGAATAGTTACAGTCTGGCCGGCTGGGTTCGATTCCCAGCAGGGATAGGAGATCTCTATCTTCCCACAGTGTACAGACTGACTCTGGGGCCCATGCAGTCTCCTATTCAATGGGTACTGGGGGACTTTTCCCCAGGGATAAAGTGGCTGGGAAGTGATGCTGACCACTCACTTCCACATGGTGCCGAGGTCTAGAATGCTGGAGCTACATCACCACTCTCCCATATATCTTCATGTTGTGGTGATTAATTAATAAAGTGCAGACACAACTTTATCTTTTTACCTATTACTAGATTTACTGAGGACACCCACAAAACATTCAAATCAGAATAGTTAATATGGTGATGAAGAGAAAATCTGTAATGCCCTATCAGAAACTGAACTGTAGATGCCTAGCTTATATCTGTTTAGGCTCTAGTGTCTGTGAACATCCAGCATTCAGGACACATGTTAAAGAAAAGCTACTTACTTTCAGTATATCTCCAGATGGCATGACTTCATCATATTCTTCTCCAATTTTAAAATTTAATTCAGTAGTTCGAATTAAGGTTGAAGTTTTAATGGTCCAAGTATCATCTTTACAAGAAATTTCAACCAAAGGTGTGGAAGCAGCCATCATCTGCCGAGCAATGAATGGAACACCTGTGCAATTGCACATGTCAGATCAGTTCTGTCAAAATTGCCTTGTGTATGAAATGTGTCACAATTTACTATGATGAGTTCCAACTCTTACTAAAACACTATCATAAGCAAGTCACTGTTATTAAAAGTATGATACTAGATCCCCACAAACTGCGAAAAGTAGATTCAAAGAGGCAGCAGACTTGCTCCTTGTAGCTTAATTTCTCTTAAGATTTCTTGTTTTTATTTAGAAGAGAAAATAAAGGAAACCGAGAATTGTTTTACAGTACTGAGAAATGCCTGATGGATGAAAGAAGCTATGTTCCGGGGGTTCAGAGAAACATCTTTCATTCATTCATTTATTCAGCATTCCATAAATCCTTACATGATTAAACTCCAATGGATATAGAAATAGTCAACATGAGTAAACATGATCACATACTGCATCACAATTGTGTAACGTCATAGCAGTTAGCCATATAAAAATATTAACAATACACAACATGAACAAAAACTGTCACTTTTAACAATAAAGCACTATCACCTACCACTCGTAACAAAATTCAAAACTTTAATTGTTATCACAGTTGTGAATAAAACAAATATAAAAATAGGAATCTTTTAACAGCAGACCTAAATTTTTTAATCTCATGAGCTTGGTATTTTATAATAGGTGGAAGTTGATTAAAAATTTTAATTCCAAAATAATATGTTCCCTTTTGAAAGACAGTTAAGTTACACAAGGGATAATGGACGTTAGTACTATGTCTTGTGTTGATTGTATGAATCTCAGAATTAGATAAAAACAGATCTTTGTTTTTGACCACAAATAACAAAATGGAAAAAATGTACTGTGAGTAAAGGGGCAGAATCTTTAATCTCTTAAACAACTCCCTACAAGAATCTCTATTTCTAGAATTGGTGATGACTCTTATTACCCTCTTCTGTAGTCTAAAGATACGGATGCAGAGGGGCGAATTACCCAAGAAAATCATTCCATATGTGATAATAGAATGAAAATATGAAAAATATACCGATCTCATTGATTCTAATGACATACAGGGTTTCATAGCCCTAACTGCATAGAAAAAACCATACGAGCCTCTCACATCACCAATCTAAGAGACGCGTAGAGTTATGTGTTAAAAGATATACTAGGAATAAGATTTTGTTTTATTTAAATGTTCCCATCTTTGAACCAATGACATACTTCAGGGATACACTTACACATGACAGGAAACTTCCAGTACATCACTGTATTGTTGTATAAACAGTCTAATATTCAGTGGAGACTACAGAAACAAGTTCTCGCTAGAAATACAGGTACTATCACGGGAACTGAGCATGATGGGACCATGTCGCCTGACTTTACAACACATTTTGTCCTAAGATATCCAAATTCCTCTTTTGTAAGGTGCCAGAAGGGACTGCATTAACTTGCATGCACACACATTACTCAGACTACTGATATCTTCCTGTAAAACTACAACAGAGCATTTCTACTTCATTATCCATCAGGATAACTGAAGGTGGTACAATGAGTCAAACATACAGATAACATTGGAGAACAAAGAAATTCATACAAAGTTCTATTATGGAAGCCTACAAAAAATAAGTGATTTGAAAAATTAAGAGGGAAATAATGAGGATATGCAACATTTTATGGCACAGATATTTAATAATGTATTGTATTAAATTGTCTTGTCTGTTGTCCAAGAACATAAAAATTAGACTATACAAAACTATAATTTTGCCTGTGGTTCTGTATGGGTGTGAAACTTGGTCTCTGACATTAAGAGAGGAACATAGAGTGAGGGTGTTTGAACATGGTGTTGAGAATATTTGGACCAAAGAGAGATGAACTGACATGAGGGTTGAGAAAACTGCATAATGAGGACCTTCATAACATGTACTCTTCTCCAAGTATAATTAGAATGATCAAGTCAGGGAGGATGAGGTGGGCAGGTCATTTAGCATGAATGGGGGAGACGAGAAATGCGTATAGGATATTGGTGGGAAAGCCAGAAGGAGAGAGACCACAGGGAAGACCAAGGCGTAGGTGGGTGGACAATATTAGAGTGGATCTTAGATGGATAGGATGGGATGGTATGGATTGGATAGATCGGTCTCAGGATAGGGACCATAGACTTCTTATGAATACTGACAAAACACAATTTACTGCATCTCTGATTCCATTACTAACCCATTGCTTTGAAGTAGCCATCCAAGTTTTCATTCTTCTCTAGTTTATATCTTCCAGTTATCTGAACCATCTTCAGTTACAGATGCCTGATATACCTGAAACAAACGTCGTTTAATAATCCTGCTCCAGTAACAGATAATACATAGAACAGAACAAGATGAAAAAATGAACATGACTTGGGAATTGCCCATTTGAATGTACAGAGGTTCTCAAAAGAAGTACCATATTTTATATGCAGTAGCATATGAGCCCCAATGTATAAAGACAGAATATTAACTATGTACTAGCCCCAAACCTAACTCAATTAATTTTAATGTAAAAAATGTAGTTCCTTGCAGTAACATTACTTAATTAAGCACTATACATTCATTTCAACCACCTACTGTGCGCTGTTAAAAACATAAAAATTAAAGCATACAAAACAATAAATTTGCCTGTGATTCTTTATGGGTGTGAAAATTGGTCTCTACCATTAAGGGAGGTACAGAGACTGAGGGTGTTTGCGAACAGGGTGCTGAGCAGAATATTTAGACTGAAGAAAGCTGAAGTGACGGGAGATTGGAGAAAACTGCATTACAAGGAGCTTTGTAACTTGTACTCTTCGCCAATATAACTAGAATGATCAAGTTAAGGGGGGTGAAATGGGCAGAGCATGTAGCACAAATGAGGGGAGAAGGGAATGCATATAGGATATTGGTGGAAGAGCCAGAAGGAAAGCAATCACTAGGAAAACTAAGATGCAGGTGGGTGGACAATATAAAAATGATCCTTAGAGAGATAGGATGGGGTGGTGTGGACTGGATTCATCTGGCTCAGGATAAGGACCAGTGGCGCTCTTGTGTACATAGTAATCAACCTTCAGATTCCATAAACTGCTAGGAAGTGCTTCAGTAGCTGCACAGTTGGCGGCTTCTCGAGAAGGGCTGAGTTCAATGAAGTTAGTTTAGTTAGGCTCACAAGGCAAAACTTGATCTCACAGGAGGACCCACGCATTTTACGCGAGAGAAAAAAAAAACATGTAAACAACATCTGTTGTTATTCCATAGGATATAAATAAATGCATTTAAAACCTCATGAACTTGCCCTCTGAACTCAGATTCTGCACAAATTATTTGTTAACGTTCCAATGTCATGCCGAACTTTAAAATTACCTTCAAAGGTACACACACACACACACTGAAAGCATATACACGTGATTCTTATTATGTTGTAAACGAAACAAAACAAAAAAAAATCATCCCTATTACAGCTTACCCAACGCCTAGAACTCCGTTATCACCGTTATGACCGTTGTCTCTTCTCTATCACACCTTAACCAGAACCCCCAAGACCTCTCAGAACCCACAGAACCACAGAACTTCCGAGAACACCGCTATCTCTTTCCAACTACGCCTTAAATAACTGACGCCATCTATCATTATATTCTCGTACGTGAGCAAAAATGCTGCAACCGGTTGCACATTACGCATCGTTACGCACAATTGCGTCACTTATATTGCTTTGCCATACACAATCAATGACAGCATACGGAGTTCGCGCACTATTTTGAAGTATCTTCTACACAGCGTATCGCACATGCATACGCAAGATTCTACTGGAGTGTGAAAATATATTGTTTTGCAGATCGTATGATGAAAACCACGCACTGCAAGTGCCACAATTAAAAGGATCCATTTCCGGTCGATCTTTGTATATGTGGCACAGAAATCCTACAAAATGATGCTCTTTTACTTGCAATTTGCATTGTCGTTTCTGCTGCGTGTGCATTAGTTCTTGGATAAGGAACCTTTCCTTTATACCGATGATCTTGATTTCATCTTCTGCCTCGCTCCCACTCAGGGTCCCTCGGCAGTGACCCTTTCCCAGGCGTTTCTCAAGCCCCTGAAGACTGCTCAAGTCTTGGCGGACACCTGCACAGCCGACCTAAATCCACTGAGTATGATGTCAAGGTCATGGCCTAAAATAGGCACACAGATGCCACCTACAACGCCTAGACGAATTTGCAGATGTCAGCCATCATCTCATACTCTGTTCAAATCGGCATTTTTGTCTGGCAATTTCACTATGTTGCACATGCCATTACTGTGTACAGAGCTACTGAAATTTGGATATCCAATTCTTTTCCACAGCCTCCAGAACGACTCTGGGGCCCACCCAGGCTCCTATCCAATGGGTACCTAGTGGGGGGCTCTTTCTCTGGGGTACAGTGACAGCGGTATTAAGCTGACTACTCACCTTCATCTAGTACCTTAGTCAAGAAAAATGGGGCTATACCTCCACTCACCTGTATGTCTCCATGGCATAGTGCTTAACTAATTATGCAGAGACCTTACTTTTTACCTTCAGGAGACAGACCACCTTAATGAAGTCAACTGAAACTGCATAGAATTTCTACACTGGGAGACGCAACATTTCATACCTGTCATTCAGGAGGTAGTTCACTGTGTGGGTAGTTAATCTACCCCTCTGAAAGCTAAATTTGACACGTAGCATGTAAGCATTCACTGTCTCAGCCAGCCTCTTTGTGAGCAGTTTACTGAAGACTTTTATTGAGCTATTCCCTTATAAGCACGTGGACAGCATGAATCTCCCATACCTTTGTATTATATTTTAACAGTACACTGTCTCCAAGATTTGGGTATGTTTTTGACCTTCATGCTTTCATTAAAAAAACTGGTCCAAAAATCTATTTGTTCATGTTGTGAGGCTCTTATGCATTCAATGAAAACTTCATCTAGGCCTGTTGCCTGCATTATTTTGTAGGGTACTCCCTGTCTTATAAAAGAACAAGTCAGTGCCAGAGTAAACTGTTTTTCTAACTTGAGACACTGCATTGAAAAATATTTTGTGATTATAATTAATTTCCCTGTCTCCCTAATGTTCATTCACAGAAGAAAAAAGTGGGAAGAATGCATGGAGGGAAGTGATTGCAAGTAGCACACAATTGTACCTATATGACTAAAACAAGGCAACGATGAGTAAAAATTCTGAAGGTGATTGATTGATTGATCAGTAACTGTCAGATGACAGGTCCACAGTCTCTTCCAAAACAGTTCCTCCACTTAATGTGATCTTCTGTTTTTGGAAAGAGACTATCCAGGAAGAGTGATAATGTGGTAGTTTTTCCATTTGCTTTCCACATCGCAGTACAACAGCCGTTCAAACCACTCTGGTCACGCCTGTTGCTATACGAACTTGAACCATCTCGAGCATCATTTGTTCTGTGCTTCAAGTCGCTGCTGATGACGCTGCTTCCGGCATCAGTTTTTGGTTTTTGGTGTCTCTCTTCGTCTGATGCCTACCCTTTGACCTGTCCAGCAAGGGAGGCCCTGCCAGTAGCTACGCTACCGCTGGTATAGCTCTCAGGGTCCTTGGCATACTCAAACCCCCTCACCACGATACAAGCATTAAATTTCCCAATCTAATATGATAAGAGGAATGAACAACAGACCAGAGATCGTTAGGTTTTACAGATCTAGGTATGGACAGGAGGACAAAGTGGGTGGGGTGTGAAATTACCTAACTGGCTTATGAGGGAGGTCAATGGTTGAATATAACAATTATAAACTCCTGAGTTTCACAAAAGGAATGATTTTCTTTAGTTACATGATAACTGAGTGTCCATAAAAGATCCTATACCATCGAACTGAATACAGTTTATTCACTGCCTTACATTTACATGTGTAGAAAACCTGAGTTGCCTGATGATTCTTATAATCCAGTAAATTTTTGACAATCAAACTAAGGACAAAGTTTGATTTAATTCAATATTAGGCACGTCACATTTTCATTGTAATGGAAGCTCAAGGTAGCAACAATATTGTGTGTCTGCATGGTCTACAGGAAAACTGGGAACCCCCCCCCCTTGCAAAAAAAAGTCTACAAAAACAGTGCAGGAATACTTGGGAAAGAAATGAACCATGAAATTCATATTCCTTTTGCTCTTTACTAAGTGCAATGAGTTTATTTTGTAACAAGTATTTTATAAAAGATTGATGGTTCACCCTTACATAAATATATACACAAGTGCCAAGAACCACACTCCAAAATGTAGAACACACAGTTACTGACTTTTACATGTAATAAACCAACAATGAAATGCAAGAAAATGCCTAATATCAACTGTTTACATCAATAAATAGAATTCTGCCAGTTTCTTTTCACGTTTACCCAGGTCTTAATGTGAAACAAGATACAGTAGAACTTGGTTATAGCGTTATCAAAGGGACCTAAAAATAGTGTCGTTATAAACGAATGTCATTGTAACCGAAATGGGCACTTCCACAGTAGCCTTATGTTAGTCACGTAAAAATCTACCAAAAACCGAGTTAAAATGTTGCATTTTTT